TGCAGATGTCAGCGCATCAGCGAGGGCCTCCTTGACTACCCTGTGTAAAAGAACAGCCCCTGGCACTCTCTGTTTATCTTCATTTAATGCTTTGTTGTTGTTGTTGTTGTTGTTTTGAGATATGGTTTCACTCCTGTTTCCCAGGCTGGAGTGCAATGGTGTGATCTCAGCTCACTACAACCTCTGCCTTTCGGGCTGAAGCTATTCTCCTGCCTCAGCTTCCTGAGTAGCTGGGATTTAAAATCAGCCACCATGCCTGGTCAATTTTTATATTTTTAGTAGAGATGGGGTTGCACCATGTTGGCCAAGCTGGTCTTGAACTCCTGAGCTCGAGTAATCTACCCATCCCGGCCTCCCAAAGTGCTGGGATTACACGCATGAGCCATTGTGCCTGGCCCTCTTCACTTAATTTATTTCTCTTTTTATCGCTTATCACCACCTGGCCTGTTTTATATTTACTTGCTCTTTAAAAATCCACCCTCCCCTCTTGAACATAAGCTCCCTGAGGGCAGGGATTTCATGTCTTTTGTTTATTTCCTGTAATCCACCTCTTGGCATACAGTTACTGGACATTCAAAAACCAGCTCCCGTGTATAGGAAGGATATGGCAAGTCATGGCCATCCCTGAGCTGTGTCCCTGGAGTTCTCCCTACTCCAGGTTGAGCCCCAGGAAATTTTGTGGGTGTAAATGCTGCTGCTAGGTCCGTGCACACCCGCTGTGTTCAGCTGGCATGACCTTCTTCCCTCCTCCTTTGCCCCCTCCCATTGATGCTTTATAAATGTATTAGTGGCTGCATGATGTCACCGTAATGCATTTTGGGAATAGCCATGTGGTTTATACACACTTGAGTTGCTTTGAATGCAAACCTGACATCATACTGAAGGCAGCAGTGAACAACATATGCACAGTAAACAGGCAGCGACTGTCTTATTGATTAACAGATGAGGCCTCTATTATCGATCAAAGCTTGGCGAGGAAATTTATCACTTTTAATTTCAGGGCTGCCAAATATTTCTGCCTCTGAGCCAGCCATTACAGAGACAATTTAAAGGCACAAGACTCCTTGGGAGAGAGGATTTTGTCTGTCTCGCTCTGCTCCGCTCACGTGTCCGTGGAACTGCCTGTCTTGGCTCTCACCCTGGAGAGTTGGGGGGAAGTCAGAGCCTGTCCGGGTGGGCGTGGGAGTACTGGGGCTTTGTGAGTGGGGGCTAGCAGTGGGAGCTGACATTTGTGTTATCCACGTGTAAGGAGGGACCTGGCCCAGAGTCAGTGAGGACAGGGGCTTTCACACGCTCAGCTCAGTGTCGTGACTTCAGCGAGGTGGGGGTGGAGTGGCGGGACTTTGAAGGCAAGCAGATGTGGTCAGGCTTGGGCCGAGGCAGCCGCTTTTACTAGATCATGTGTGCTTATCTGTCTTCATCTTCCTCTGCACTTGTCTGATGGTACACATCCGGCCCTTTATTTCCTACCTGGCCTCCTTCCTTTCTCTCTGCTTCTCAGTCATTAAAGCGAGAAGCTCCTCCAGCCCACAGTGATGGCTGTTTTCTAAGAACCCTCCGGACCACATCCCTTGGAAGCCTGTGGCATGGTGGGCTCCTCGCCGACTGCAGGGCTCCAGTGTGGGAGCCCACAGGGTGCCCGCCCCTTCCCAGCCAGTGCTTCCCTCTTCGGGCCTTTGCTTCCCTTTTCTCCTTTACAGAGCCGTGAGAGCGGATAGAACCCAAGGAAGAAATACAATTAAAATCAGATTCCTTACAGATCCACAGAAAATCATTGATGGCTAATGATTTGGGACTGGGGGCAGTTTCTAATTGTGAGGGAGCTGTGACTTCATCCAGCCCCAGCTTTCCCTCCAGACCCACTCTGCTCTTGGAGGTGCTGTCTGCATTTCCAGTGTAAATAGATGAAAGATAGTCTTGGCTACTACCCCTGCTCACACACGTCATCACTGCTTCGCCATCACTGGGGGCTAGAAGCTTTTTTGGCTCTTTCCTCAAAGCTCTCTAAGCCGTATATCAGGTGCTTGGCCTGAGGGTGCCCTGTGGCTTGAAGGGACACCCGGAGGTCACCATGGGATTCTCCGTGCCTCCAGGTGAAATTCAACCCCAGCCACCTAAGGCAAATGACAATATTTATTTTTAAAGCTTTTCAGGAGAAGTGAGTTCATATCCTCCCTGGGGTACTTCGTTACCCACTTATCCGGCCAGTCGACTCACGTTTATTCAGCACCTACTAGAGTGTATCCTGCTCATCAGTAGGAAGATAGGTGTCAGCGAGACAGAGAAAGTCGATACCTCCAGAGGACCCCACCTTCTAGACTTCCTCTGGGATCATCATATTCTTCACTGCAAGAAGCATTTATTGGTATTGAAGTCTGTGCTGGAACAGCTTGTATTTGGGGTTGCATTCCTTCAGTATGTGCTGATTCTCCAAGGCAGAGGTTTCCAAATTTCTAGAAAAGTAGTGGAGCCATTTTTCCAGCCCCAAAGCCCTGATGTGTAAAATAGGTAAATTGAATTTTCATTCAGAGATGGGAGCTCAGACCCCACCCATGGAGTCTTATCCACAAAGCATCTTTGCAGATGGAACCCTAGGGAGGCCGAAGGGTACAGGGATTACTCTGAAATGAGGCTGCCTGTGTTTGAATTCACCTTTACTATGTTAACCACTGTGTGGCGTTGGGCAAAGTGCTTAACCTCTCTGGGCTTGAATGTACTCATCTGCTACATGGGGATAATGATAGCACGTACTATATAAATGGTGGTAGTTAGGACGAATGATACATATTAAGCATCTAGCATCATGCCTGGTATATAGTCAAGACTCAGGAAATCTGAGGTGATTTGAAAACAGCACTGTCGGCTACAAATTTGTGTAAAAAGTAGTTCTGGCTCGTACGAGGCTCTAATACAAAACTAAAACACAGGCATGTTTAAAGAAGAGCGAAGATGACCAGACACACTGGCTCACACCTGGAACCCCCCAGCACTTTGGGAGACCAAGGTAGGAGGATCACTTGAGCCCAGGAGCTCAAGACCAACCTGGGAAACACAGTGAGACCTCATCTCTAAATAAAAAACAACAAACAAACAAACAAACAAATGGAATTAGTCAGGCATGGTGGCGTGCACCTGTAGTCCCAGCTACTCAGGAGGCTGAGGTGGGAGGATTGCTTGAACCCAGGAGGTTGAGGCTGCTGTAAGCTATGATTGTACCACTGCACTCCAGCCTGGGTGACAGACAGAGACCCTATCTCAAAAACAACAAAGACAACAACAAAGTGCTAAGACGTGTTGAAAGGAACAGAGTGCAGTGGCAGATTGGAAAGGGCAGAAGAGTAAGGGACTGGAGAGCTTGATGTCCACAAACTCTGGCCTTGAAAATGGAGTGGGATTGGAACAGATGGAGGAACAGGACTGAGCATTGCTCAAGCACAGCGACTCTGGGAAGGTCAAGCAGTGCCCAGAGAGGGCTGGTGAGGACAGCTTACCTATGGAGGTGGGTGGCTAACCGGGACAGGTTATGGAAGGCCTTGAAGCCAAGTAGAGGAATTTAGAGTCAGTACACATTGGGAGGCCTTGTATCTTCTTGAGTAAGAAAGTGTGAGGAATCAAGTGGCCATAGAGGAACCTGCATGTGTTGAGTAGATTGCGGGTGGCTGGTGGTGTGGAAACCACGTCGCGTCTTACAGTGTTCTGAGTGTGATGCTGCAAGGGCCTGAATGGGGTGGTGATTGCAGTGGAGTCACTGCACCAAATGCCGTGGAAGAGTACATCTATGAGACATCTTGAAGGAAAAATGCCAAGGCTTGTGACAGGTGACCCCTGGATCAGATAATATAGTAGAGCCATGAAGACTATTAGCCAATGATAAAAAGTACTGTTTCATCTTGACATGGTGGCATTATCACTTTAAGCCTTCTAAATGACAGTTCTGAGAAAGTTTATTAAATTGAGTTGCACTGAATTAATCTTATTTATTCCACAAATATGTATAGTAATAGGTTTCCACTGTGTGTCAGGCAGATGCAGCTGTGCACAAGATGACACGGTCCCTCCGCCAGGGAACTTACCATGTGGTGAGAGAGAAAGACAGGGCCACGGGCATTTGGAATGGAGCACAGCAAGGGCCAAGAACTGGAACATACCAGGTGCTATCGGAGCATAAAGGAGCCTTGCCTCACCTACACGTGGGGGCCCGGGTATTGAAGTCGATGCATGAATGATGAATAGGACCTCCAACTGCACCATAGCAGCCAGGGAAGCGTGGGAGAATGTCAGAGGCAGAGGACATGCAGAAGAATGTGCTCAGGCCTAGCAATGAGGAAGAATATGGTTCCTCCAGGGAGCCCACATGGTTCAGTGTAGCTGGAGAAAAGAGAGCAAGAGTGAGGTGTGAGAGACGAAGCAGGAAAGAGGAGCATACCGAGAAGTGCTTTGTGAGTCACAGTAAGGAGTTGGAACCTTGTTCTTCAGGCACTGGGGAGTCATTCAGGGGTTTTAAATGGTCAGATGCAGGCAGCAGTTGGGGGTAGACGGTGAGTTTAGTTTTGGACACACTGAGTCAGAGGTCCCCGTGTACATCTAGGTAGAGGTATGTCAGCAATTCTTACCTTCCCATAAAGTACAGTTTAGGCAACAGGACACATTTCCCTGCGTTGGTATCATTTTTCTCCTGTCCTCCCATCACGTGGAGGTAGGTCTTCAGATCCTCCTTCTTCTCGAGGTATCTAACTTGGAGCCCATTTCTGTTTATCTTGGTTATTCTGATTTTGTTTCTCCTTCTCTCTGGAAGAGCCCTAGACAAAGGCATTTGGAACTCAGTTGGGTGAATGTTCACCTCTTAGAGGAAGGTCTGAACCATGGATGATCCCTCACTCAGGATTTTCGCAGGTGTCCAGTCCCCTCCCCTAGTGTCCACCTGCACAGTTGTGGCCCAGGACCTCCCCCCTCACCAATGGACTATTGTTCTAGTGGTAACTGCCTCTCCTTTCTTTCAGCGGGTGCCAAAGCCTTTGTCTGTGATCAGTGTGGTGCACAGTTTTCGAAGGAGGATGCCCTGGAGACGCACAGGCAGACCCATACTGGTGAGTTGACTTGGATTCCTATTCTTCAGGTTTTCCACAGTGTTGGTAGCACATGGACATGAACTGTCTGGGTGGCAACCTCTTTTTAGCAAATGTAACATCCAGTAATTTCCTGGGGGAGCTGTGAGTAGGGTGGGCTTCTGCCATGTTCAGCTACCCTTGGCTGTGTGGCTGGCCCAGCAGAAGTTTATAAGTATGACATGGCCCCATGAGAATGGCTGTCCTAGATTAGGCCAGGATCTGTCTCTAACTGGCCACTGAGATCCCATTTTCTTGGAGGTATCTAGTACGCTCTTGTTGAGGCCTTAGTCTGTGATGTTACCAAAACATCTTCCTTTGGTCAGGAAATCTGTCACACCCATCTGATGAGACTGAAACCCTCATGTGGCCATGGTGGGCTGGTCCTCCCTCTGCGAGAGCTGAGACGTTGTCTAAAAGCAGTCTGTACACAGGATGCATCTGAACAATATTAACTCACAATGATAGAGCTTTATTTGATTTCAAGGAGATTGATTTCACTGCACCAAAGTCATCTGATGATTGTGATCAGAGTTGTTGTCACCAGATCGTCACAGCAGCTCACACTTAACACTCACAGTGAGGCAGGCACCGTTCTCAGGGCTTTACGTCAGGGATCCCCAACCCCGGGATCATGAACTGGTGTCCATGGTGGTCTGTTAGCAACCAGGCTGCATGGCAAGAGGCGAGCAGTGGGCGAGCAAGTGAAACTTCATCTGTGTTTATAGCTGCTCCTCATTGCTCGCATTACCACCTGAGCTCCTCCTCGTGTCAGAGCAGCAGCAGTAGCAGCAGCATTAGATTCTCATAGGAGCACAAACCCTACTGTGAACTGTGCATGCAAGGGGTCTAGGTTGTGTGCTCCTTATGAGAATCTAATGCCTGATGATCTGTCACTGTCTCTCGTCACCCCCAGATGGGACCATCTAGTTGCAGAAGCTCAGGGCTCCCACTAATTCTACATTATGGTGAGTTGTATAATTAGTTCATTATATATTATAATGTAATAATAGAAAAATAAAGTACACAATAAATGTAATGTGCTTAAATCATCCCAGGAATACCCTCCTGTACCCTGCCATATGTGAAAAAGTTGTCTTCCATAAAACTGATCCCTGGTGCCAAAAAGGTTGGGGACCACTGCTTTACGTGATCCCACCTGGCCAATCTCTGAATAACGCTATAAGGTAAGGTCGGAGGCTACTCTTACATCATAGATGAGGAAACTGAGGCTGAAAAGAGGGAAAGTGACTTGCTGGAGTTGGTAATGGGGACAGGTATGGTAGAACCATATAGTTCAGAGCTGAGACTGCATGAGTTTAATCCTGACTGCCACTTCCTATTTGTGGGGCCATGGATAAATTATTTAAACTCTCTAAATATAGATTTCTCATCTGTTAGAAAAGTGGAGTAATATTAGTGTCTACCTCCTAGCATTAGGGTTGTTGTGGGGATGAAATAAGGTATTTTATTTGAAGTATTTCATGGCGTGTTTGGCTCATAGTAAGCACTCAATAAATAGTAGTAGGTATATTTAATGTAATAGATATTTATTGAGTTTCTACAATGTGCCTGGCACTGTTTAGGCATTTAAGATGTAGTAGTGCATGAGACAGATGACATTCCTGCCCCTCATGGAACTGAGCTTCTAGCTGGGAGACAGAATCAGCAAATAAGTGTACGATATCATATCTGCTTATACATACTAAGTGCTACTAAGAAAAGGATAAGGAGTAGAGAATAATAGGGAGAAAAGAAATATCGTGGATATTTTGGGAGAAATGTTGTAGATACAATGGTTAGGGAAGGCCTCTCCAAGAAGGTGGTATCTGGGCAGAGTCTTAAAAAGAGAAGGAGTGAGCCACTCAAAAATTTTCTGGGAAGAATGTCTAAGCAAAGGGAGTGAGCGCTTACAGAAGCCCTGAGGCTGGGTCAAGTCTGACAGGTTTAAGGACCCACATGCAGAGCAGTGGTGGCCAGAGAGCTGGGAGTGATGTGTAGAGAGTGGTGAGGGATGAGGACAGGATCTGACAAGTCTCTCAGCCCTGGTAAAAGATCTGGGTTTTATTCTGCATGTGCTAAGAGTCCTTTGGAGGGTGAGAAAATATCTGCAAATCATATATTTGATGAGGAACTTATAGCTAGAAATAGAAAGAGGTCTTATAATTCAAAAAACATTAACAAATAATCAAATTAAATAATGGGCAAAGGTTTTGAACAGACGTGTCTCCAAAGATGACAAATAGCCAATGAGCACATGAAAAAGATGCTCAACTGCATTCACCATCAGGTAGATGCAAATCAAAACCACAGTGAGATACTGCTTCACACCCACTACAGTGTGGCTACAATAAAAAATACAGATAATAACAAGTGTTATCAAAAATGTGGAAAAACCAGAACTCTCATACTATGCTGGTGGGAGTGTAAAATGGTGCAGCCACTTTGGAAAACATTCTGGAGATTCCTCAAGAGGTTAGCTGAGGCAGGTAGATCACAAGGTCAGGAGATCAAGACCATACTGGCCAACATGGTGAAACCCCATTTCTACTAAAAAAGTACAAAAATTAGCTGGGCGTGGTGGCATGTGTTTGTAATCCCAGCTACTTGGGAGGCTGAGGCAGGAAAATCACTTGAACCAGGGAGTTGGAGGTTGCAGTGAGCTGAGATTGCGCCTCTCCAGCCTGATATCAGAGTGAGACTCTGTCTCAAAAAAAAAAAAAAAAAAAAAAAAAGGTTAAACATAGAATTACCATACGACACAGCAGTTCTTCTCTTAGGTATACAACCAAGAGAACTGAGACGATATGTTTATAGCAGCATTATTCATAATAGCCAAAAAAAATGGAAACAACCCAATATGTATCAACTGATGAATGGATAAACCAAGTGTGGTGTATTCACACCATGGTATACTGTTTGGCTCTAAAAAGGAAAGAAGTACTGATACATACTACAACACAGATGAACTTGAACATGCTCTGTGAAGGAAGCCAGATGCAAAATGATTGTGTTCATGTGAAATATCTAGAATAGGCAAATCTATAGAGACAGAAAGTAAATTAGTAGGTGCCAGGGGCTGGGGTAGTTGTGAGGAAATGGAGAGTGACTGCTGATGAAGCCGGAGTTTCTTCGTGGAGTGATGAAAATGTTCTAAAATTGATCATGGTGATGACTGCACAGCTTTGAATACGGAGGCTCCTCGACTTACAGTGGGGCTGTGTCCTGCTAAACCCATCGTAAGTTGAAAAGATAATAAATTGAAAATGCATTTAATACAACTAACCTACTGAACATCATAGCTTAGCCTAGCCTACCTTAAATGTGCTCCGAACACTTACATTAGCCAACAGTTGGGCAAAATCATCTAATATAAGACCTATTTTATAATAAAAGTGTTGAAGATCTCATGGAATGTATTATATCCTGTACATTACTTCAAAACTGTGATGGTTTCCCACAATTATAAAGTTAAAAATCCTAAGTCAGGGGCCATTCTATGTATTAGTTGAACTGTACACTTTAAAAGACATGAATTTTATATTGTATGGTATGTGTATTAGATCTCTGAAAAGTGGCATGGGTGTGTACATGTATATAAATGAGCTCTGCCAGTGTCAGGAAGAGTCACTGGCATCCCTCATGCCACCTGTCTTTCATATGTAGATACATACACACACACACATATATATACACACATATGTATACATACACACACATATACGCACAGACAGAGTGATGTGCCATGTATTAAGCCGTTCTTGCCTTGCGGTAAAGAAATACCTGAGACTGGGTAATTTACAAAGAGGTTTAATTGGCTCACAGTTCTGCAGGCTTTCCAGGAAGCATGATGCTGGCATCTGCTCAGGCTCTGGGGAGGCCTCAGGAAGCTTACAACCATGGTGGAAGGCAAAGGGGGAGCAGGCATGTCACATGGCCAGAGCAGGAGCTAGAGAGAGAGAGTTGGGCGAGGGGGAAGCAGCTGCACACTTTTAAATGACCAGTTCTCTCAGATAACTCACTCATTGTCATGAGAATAGCACCAAGAGGATGGTACTAAACCATTCAGGATAAACCCATCCCCATGATCCAATTGCCTTGCACCAGGCCCCACCTCCAACACTGGGGATTACAGTTCAATATGAGATTTGGGCAGGACAAATATCCAAACTATATCACACCATATAATGACATTTTGGTCAACAATGGATTGCATATATGACAGTGGTCTCATAAGATTATAATACCATATTTTTACTGTACCTTTTCTACATTTAGATGTGTTTAGATACATAAATACTTACCATTGTGTTACAATTGCCTGCAGTGTTTAGTACAGTAGCATGCTCTAAAGGTTTGTAGCCTAGGAGGAATTGGCAGTCCCATATAGCCTTGGTGTGTAGAAGGCCGTACCATCTAGGCTTATGTAAATGTGCTCTAGGATGTAGCCTAGAAGCTACCCACTAGGAAGTGGAGAGCTGGAACTTGACCCAACTCACGTGCTCTTTCCACAACTCCCCAACTGCCTGCACATTGACTGAGTGTTGTCCATGGGCTAAAAGGCTCAGGATCATGCCCCGTCATGGGCAGGGCTCTTTTGGCTCCTTGTGCCCTATTTAAGACAAAATTGTCTAATGAAACATTTCTCAGAACATACCCTTATCACTAAGTGACATTTGACTGTACACACACATGCACACACACACACACATACATAGCTTTACTGAGATATAATACATACACACACACACAGATGTGCATTTATAGAGAAGGTGGAAAAGTAGTCCATTGAAAGGTTTTGACTGGGAGAATGACATGACTTGATTTATGTGTTTAAAAGATTATTCTGGTTCTTGTGTTGAGGATTGACCATAGAGAGTATTGTCATGTAACAAACCACTGCAATAGTAGCTTAAAACAATAAAGTGTTATTGTCTCTGACAGTTCTGTGGGTAACTGGGCTCAGCTGGCTGGTTTTCACT